AAATTATAATTAAAAAAAGAAATGTAATAAAATTGGGAAATGATTTATTTTTGGTTTTGGCTCAAGTGTGCATTTTGTAAGAAGAGAAGCAAAGAGGGGAAAAGTCTAATAGGTGACAGGTTGGTCTTTGGGAGGATCTTGTTCCATGTGATGAACATGGATCTTCATTTTTGCTTAACGTTTTCTTTTGCTTGTCGCTTTGTCTAATCATGATTACTTTCAAGTTTCATTCACTAAACGAACACAAAAATGTATCAAATAGATTTGGAAATTTATCCAAATTGTGGTATTAGCAGTAGCCAAAACTACCAAAATCAAAACAAGTTTTCCGTTTCAGAAACTTAGAAAACCAAGTAAGCGAACCTATTTTCATTACATGTCAAAATCCAATAAACTATATAAAACGACATACTGTATGTATTTTTTCCTACTTTTCTAAACACAAATTTCGCTTTAAATTTTGTTAGACAGATAGATTCAGTTATTGCTTAATGTCAATTAAAGTCCAACTAACTTTTCCCTTCAGGCTGACCTAACTGAATTAGAAAAACCAGTTCAATCAATTTTTAAGACTTTTTTTGCTTATAACTATTTTGAAAGCTAGTTAGCTACAATCTTTGACGGCTACCAATTACCAAGTAGTGGGATTCAAAACTTACAAATATATTCATCCCACTTCCATTTTGGCTATTACAATTCCTTACACGGTTTTAGTACACAAATTCAACTCTGTTACTTCATGTTTCTCAAAGTATGTACATCTCTCAAATCTATTTAAAAATAGAGAAATCTAATGTATAATGAAAATCTTTTACATGGACCATCTAAGTATTCTATACACTAGTGAGCATCGCGGAATCTCCTGCCTCTGCAACTATGCAACATCCTAAACGACAAGAAATCACACACCGAAAATGATTTAGTAAACAATCAACAGTAAGAACAGCAACAAGGAACTCAATTAACTTGATAGAGTACAACTTCCACACGTCCAAAGCAACCTCTGTCCACACTGGAATCTGGCAGTCTTGGTAGATCTTAGAACCATATTATCAGAACCAAAAACATCAAAGCAGGGAGATAAAATTAACAACTTCTCACAGTGCCTCGGATTACAAAACACAAGTGTCAGGAGCTCAAAGCCCCTTGCACTAAATTTCCCAATCATCACAAACCAAAAAAATCAGCAGAAACTAAATCCAAAGAAAATCTGAACTGCTTAAGACCAGAGGCAATATGACTCTTTTTCTCATCTTTGCCAAACGTATGGCAATGGCAAACATATCAGATTCTGACTAACAAAATGTTTTTTATCTAACTCTAACTATCCGAATCGAACCATCTAGCCAAAACTCAGATTTTAAGTTTGATAACTCTTAACATTGATCAGCTGCTATAAGAATTAAGTATAAGAAAAAGGTTTTCTCACGGCTTCAGTCAGATCAGAGTATCTACCGATCTTCAAAAAACTCAAAACCCCTGAGCCAAATTTCCCAACCAAACCATTATAGGCAAAATGATTTAAACCTAAATCATATAGCTGCCTCAAAATCCGCTTATCTTCTTCTAATTGACTTCACCATTACTACTTTCCCTCCCCGTTTTCTAGATGAGGATTAAGAATAAGGAAAATCAAGAGGAGGAAAGCGCTCTGTTTTCTACTTCTTGGTGTAGAAAACAGAATGATCTCCTCCTCTTGATATTACTCAATCTTATCCTCATATTAGCCAAAGGTATGGCAATGGCAAAGCATACCAGATTCTCACTACCAACAAAAACGTCCAATCTGAAGAAAAATATATCATTCTAACTACCCGAATCAAACCATCTGAAGCCAAAACTCGGAACTTTAAATACGATAAGTGATAACTCTTTAACATTGATCAGTTGCCATCAGACTATAGCATGAAGAAAATGATTTTGTCACGGCTTCATTCAGATCAGAGTAAACTCCGATCATCTGAAACTCAAAACCCTTGCGCAAATTTTCAATCATCACTTGGCAACTTAAGGATCAAATCCATAACGAAAAATCAACACAGAAATGATTCTGTAAAAATGAAAAAACCACCATCAAATCAACATAAATCAAAACCCATCCTATGTTCTACAGAGGACGAACAAAACTTCTGGGAAAGATTGAACCTTTTGAAACTCACAGATCTCGCCGACACACTCAAAGTTTCGACCTTTCGGCTCTTTTAAAACCCAATCGTGTCGCTAGGGTTTTTAATCCAGGTCTTAACCATGACGGGTATAATAGCCATTTCATAACTAAACCGGGTTTCGTGGACCTTGGATTAAACTAAACCGGTTTCGTTTTCCTTTACCGGACGTGGACCCTGGATTAAACTAAACCGGTTCCCAAACAGATCTTTCTCGTTTTCACAAAATTATCACGAATCGCAATCCCTAATTTGACAGTTCCGTTCCTCTTTGGATCTCCGATTTCAAAACCGATCAAATTAATCACCGGAGAAGGAATTTCACGGGATGGCTACGGCCATTGGAGGCGGTAGTGATGTAGAGGTCGGATTCGCGAAGCTACAAGGTGAGGATTTCGAGTATTATATGCAGTCCTACTCCATTATGCTCGGTCGGAATTCTAAGAAATCGACCGTCGACGTCGACTTATCATCCCTCGGCGGAGGGATGAACATTTCTCGAAACCACGCTCGGATATTCTACGACTTCACGAGACGCCGTTTCTCTCTCGAGGTCCTTGGCAAAAATGGTTGCCTAGTTGAAGGTGTACTCCATCTTCCTGGGAACCCTAACGTCAAGCTTGACTCACAGGACCTTTTGCAGATTGGAGATAAAGAGTTTTACTTTCTGCTACCGGTTCGGAGTATCCTAGGCGGGCCGTTGGGTCCTAGGCACCACGTCTCAGCAGGGCCTACTAGTGCCGGGGCGGTTGTTCCGTACCACAATTATCATTCGGGTCCGGGTTCTGGTTCTGGGTCGGGTAAGAAGAGTGGACGGGGTACAATACTCTATGAGTAC